AACAACAGAAAGAGATAGAATACATTTCGAAGAAATTGCAATCTTACGATTGGAAGACTTACCCTCATAGGTGTCTTCTTATCTTAGACGACTTTGCTTCTCATCCTTTGTTAAAAGAACAGAGAACAAGACATGTGTCGAATTCTTAAGAAGCTCAGACACTTTAACATCTCAGTTGTCATTTGTGTACAGACAGCAAAGAGTTTAAGTAAGGATGTTAAAAGAATACTTACTGATATCATTACTTTTCCCTGGATTGTCCGAAGACGATTTCATGGAACTTATGAAAGAGTCCATGGCAGGTAAGTTTGACAGACATGAACTATGGGAGAAGTACAAAGTCATACAAGACCCTCATACTTCTTTCAGAATTCACATCTACGCGAACAAAGTTCAAATTGTAAAAAGTCAAGCTTGAAAAATAAAAGTGTTTGAGTCTTAGTCTGTTGTGGTGCTGGGGCTGTCGGTTCTTCTGGCTTTGGAATGGACTCGGTTGGTGGTACGTCGGACATTCGTTTGTGTCCTGTCGGAAGGAAGGACTTTTCCTGTCGGATGGAAGGACTTTTCCTGTCGGAAGGAAGGACTTTTCCTGTCTGAAGGAAAAATTTTTTCTGTCGGAAGGAAAAACTTTTTCTGAAGTTCGACCAAAAAGTTCTCAATTTTCGAAAATTTGAATGGTTTACGGACGAACAACAGGAAATTTTTTTCCAGTTGTCAGGAAATTTTTTTCCAGTTGTCGGGAAATTTTTTTCCAGTTGTCGGGAAGAACTTGGAATGTCGGAAGGAAGGACTCGGAATGCCAGAAGGAAGGACTCGGAATGTCGGAAGGAAGGACTCGGAATGCCAGAAGGAAGAACTTGGAATGCCAGAAGGATTTGACAAGACAATTTACCTTATAGAGCTACCTGAGCCATCTGAAGTCAAGCGTAAAAATAAATGGTTCATCTACTCTACTTGTTTGAAGTTGTCAAAATACTCTGTTATTTTTTCTTTCAGTAGCGGTAAATCTTCTTTGAAGGTAAGAATTGTACAACCTTTCATATCATAGTGTGTTTGAGGTAACGTATCTTGAACTATTTGTTTCACATCTTCATTTGGGGTCATTGAAATCGGTAAGTTTTCGCGATAGAACCAATTTCTGTCAGATTTGTAAATCTTAGCAAGGTCGTAAAAGCTTTTGTTGTCTTCTGACTAAATGCAACATAACCATATCTCTGTCTTCTTCATTTTCCATCTCTTCAGTGTAAATCATATACTTATAGTTCTTTTCCTTTCCTTTGGTACCGAACGTGGTATTCTTTTCTGTATGTTTTTGTCTTTTGCTTCAAGCTTGTTTTCCATCTCTTCACGTTCTTGTCTATGAATTTCATCTAACATCATGAAAATATAACAAGCATAGCGAGGTGAAGCCCACATTGCAACAGCATTTACAAGAAGTCTATGTACATACCAACCTCTCAAACCATTTGGCAAATTTTGACGATTTTCGTACGGAATCTCGACCCTCGGTTTTCCGAGGGTCGCAAACATATGAGGAAATTCTTCTAAAAGTTCTTTTGTCTGTTGGTTTTCAAACCAATGGTATGCTTGCTTTGTAGAACGAAGAGCATTCAAAATACTTTGCATTTGGTACATATCGTCTTTGACCGAACGAATGAGACGGAGTTGTTTGTTAAACTGTATGTACTCATATTCTTCATTTATAGCTTCATGGACTATAACTGTTGTTGTGTTCTCTGTTGTTGACATTACTGTCTTTACATACAAAATAAAAAAATAAATAAAAATAAAACTAACTTTATTTTTTTTTAAGTTTGGTCATCCTTCACTATATGACAAATATACTATATATTTACTTAAAAATATGCAAGCGGCTCATAGCTCAGTGGTATGGGCTACCTCGCTACAGGCGTCGAAGACCTCGGTTCAAATCCCGATTCGCGCAGGTTTTTTCCTTTTATGCAGTGAAATTTCATGTACATAGGTTACTTTGGTGTTAGACCCTAGTGAAGAAAATAGAACGATATAAGTTTACATTTGTAAGGCTACTTTGGTGTTAGACCCTAGTGAAGAAAATAGAACTATATAAGTTTACATTTGTAAGGTTGGACGATAAAATTTACTGACTGACGTCGGACATTGTCTTGAAAAAGTAAAAGACTTGTCTTGAAAAAGTAAAAGACTTGTCTTGAAAAAGTAAAAGACTTGTCTTGAAAAAGTAAAAGACTTGTCTTGAAAAAGTAAAAGACTTGTCTTGAAAAAGTAAAAGACTTGTCTTGAAAAAGTAAAAGACTTGTCTTGAAAAAGTAAAAGACTTGTCTTGAAAAAGTAAAAGACTTGTCTTGAAAAAGTAAAAGACTTGTCTTGAAAAAGTAAAAGACTTGTCTTGAAAAAGTAAAAGACTTGTCTTGAAAAAGTAAAAGACTTGTCTTGAAAAAGTAAAAGACTTGTCTTGAAAAAGTAAAAGACTTGTCTTGAAAAAGTAAAAGACTTGTCTTGAAAAAGTAAAAGACTTGTCTTGAAAAAGTAAAAGACTTGTCTTGAAAAAGTAAAAGACTTGTCTTGAAAAAGTAAAAGACTTGTCTTGAAAAAGTAAAAGACTTGTCTTGAAACAATGACCGACATAGACCCAGCAGATGAGGCAATCTACCTTATAGAGATAAATGAGCTAGTTAGGAACTACCTGAGCCATCTGAAGTCAAGCGTAAAAATAAACGCTTTACATGTATTTTTCAGCAACTTCGTCAAATAATTTTATAGCACTATCTATCTCATCTACTTCAAACGTTTCTTTACCTTTCGTGGGAGCACCATACATTTTCTCAAAAACTTCAAGCAGTTCTGTTTCAGCAGCTCTCATATCATTTACAAACACAACCTTAACTCTATTGACTGTACTGTCATATCTTTTAGTTATATTAAATGTTCTTCCTATCTTATATCTCTTTGTATTGAAGTCCTTCGGTTTCTGAACGATATAAAGTAAGCCTTCACTGCAACGTTCAGTATCGAATGAACCATATGTTATGAAATTATATCCAACAACTGGGTCAATCCAGAACAAAACTAGTGGTATAAGACTTTTGTCTATAAGATATGCTGTAGTTCCATGAAATCTTACCGATATCAAAAGCTCAGGATTTCTTGTCAAAATTTTCTGACTAGAAGCATTTCTAACCCAGTCCTTTGCTCTCTTTCCAGATGGTGTTAAAATGTCTGACAAAGAATTTTTTGTATTTCTTTGAGTATCTTACGTTTAAATCACCAATTCTAACCATTTTGGTGTCATTGTCTATCTTTCTAACTGTTTCAAACTCAGTGTTTGACATTTCCTGTTCTTACATACAAAATAAAAAAAAATATTTTAAAAAAACTAGCTTTTATTTTCTATCTTAAGGAAATTCATGAAATTTGGTCATTTTTCAGCAAAATATATTTTAGGGTAGAAGGGTAGATATAACCTGTTTTCTACCCTCATTTCTACCCCATATGTCCTTACTGAAAAAAGTATGTGTTCCATATGCCATTTTACTCAGAATTTTGTTGCTGAATTCAATAAAAATATATTTTAGGGTAGAAGGGTAGATATAACCTGTTTTCTACCCTCATTTCTACCCCAGTTATTTTATAAGCGTTTTACATGGTAAACATTGTGAATTCGTGAAATTCTAAACAATTTCGTAGCTTCAATTTCTTCTTTTAGTACATCGAATGTTTTAACGATACCGAAGGTTTCTTTATATTTCTTCTTGACGTCAGATAGAAGGAAATCTTCTGCTGTTGGATAGTTTTTGTTCAGAAATTCTAACATATCCATTTTATCTTCTGCTGGCTTTTCTGCTTCTTTCTTTAAGTCTGCATAGTCGTTTCGCATTCTTTCTATCTCTTTGACGGAGTAGTTATATTTCCTAATTGCTGCTTTACATTTAGAACATTGCGGGTTCATTTTTGCGTTATATTCTGAAACCTTACCTGCTAAAACAACTAAGGCGTCAATGGTTTTCTTTAACTCAAACATAGCGGGTCTTATTTGTTCATTCCATACCTTACCTCTTCTATCTTTATCTCTTATTTCCCAAACACATTTTGCAACTAACGAAACAAAGTTGTCGTAGGTCTTAAACTCCCCAGATTTGTATATGTCAGAGATGTTCTTATATACCATATCGCAATCTTTGTCCATGACTTTGTGGTTGCAATGAAATCCAAGAAACTCATAGTTTACCTTACGTATGAACTTCTTTATTTCTACTGAGTCAGTTGCTTTGACTTCTATTTCATCGAATTCTGGAATAGTAAGCTTTTGTTGTTGGATTTCAGGAAGTTTAGGTAAATGGTCAATAATATCCTGCATTTCATAAAGATACTGTTCATTTGTTTCATCTTTTGCACTACAGTCTAAATCTCCTTGGAGAAGTTCTTGCTTTATCTTCTGGATTTCTGTTTCGAAAGTATATGAAGAAGGAATGAAGCTTTTCATCTCTACTAACATTGAAGTTGGGTTCATGACTAAAGAGTTTGGTGCTGTTGTTGCTAACATGTTCTTACAATAAAAATAAAAAAATATTTTTTTAAAAAAACTAACTTTATTTTTTATTTCGGGAAAATTCATGAGGTTAGAAAACATGTACGAAGAAGTCTTGACAAAACATTTACGATGAAATCATGACAAAACATTTATGAAGAAGTCTTGACAAAACATTTACGAAGAAGTCATGAAAATTCAAGAGGGTAGAAAAGAGGGTAGAAGACAGGTTAGATCTAACCTTCTACCCTAAAATATATTTTTGGGTCATTTACTCACAATATTTTTGTACAAAACGACCCCAAACTTTTAACTTCTTTTCTGCAGCTTCTAATGTTATCTTAGCGAGTTCATATTCTCTAAATTCTCTCTTTAAATCTTCTTGTTCCCATTGGTCTAGTTCGTATGGCGAGTCTCTATAACCAGAACATATCTCACGTTCATGTTCTATTTGTTTTTCATGCATTTTTCTAACTTCTTCTTCAAACAAAGGTTTTGCATTCTCTACTGTATCTTCAAGTTCTTCTTCATCTAACTTCTCATGAACTTTCTTGTCTATGGAGTCCATAATTTTTCCAACTGCTATACAATATTTTGGAGAAGCCCACATTGCTATATAGTTTACAAGTCTTGGGTCTACATACGTTCCTCTAACCTGTTTGATTTCATCAGGAATTCCTGCATGAACCTTGTATAAAAAGCAACCGTCGGAATTCCGGCGGTTGGTATATTCTTCACAAAATGCCGTATAATACTCTTCCCAGGACTTATTTTCCAACAACTTTCTAAAGTCTTTCCTAAACTGCTGACACATATTTGTTGCATTAATGTAACCATCCTTGTCTCTACGTAAGACTTCAATACCGTTATAAGTGCCTTTTGTGAATGTTTCGCCATTAGATTTGTTCGTGAACGTTTTTGCTTCGACTGTCATACTGTTCTTACAATAAAAATAAAAAAATATTTTTGGCTTAACCGTCGGACATTCGTTTGTGGCTTAACCGTCGGACCACAACGATAAAAATCTCGACAAAACATATACGATGAAGAAGTCTTGACAAAACATTTACGATGAAGTCTTAACAAAAAATATACGATGAAATCTATTTCCTGTGTTGTTGTCAAAATGTCATGTTGTCACACTTTTTCAAAAAGATGTTAGTTGACCGAGTGACCGAGTGACCGAGTGACCTGGTCGCCTAAAATATATTTTTTTCTATCTTAAGGAAATTCATGAAAATTCACCTGTTGAATTTTGTATAAAAAGCAACCCGCTGTTTTCCGCGGGTTGGTATATTCTTCACAAAATGCTTGTTTTGAGGTTAAGCCACTTTTGGCTCCACCTCTTTTTCAACCAAAAACTCATTTTTGTCGAATTCAGCACAAAATTCATGAAAATTCAACGGGTGAGAAAACAGGTGAAAAAACAGGTGAAATCTCACCTCTTCACCTAAAATATATTTTTTCAATACTTTTTCAGCACTTTTCCGTAGTTGTATATGAAGACAATTCGGGATGAAAATTTCTTCATCTGATATATTCCTACCGGCGTTTGTAAACATATAGTCTAACGGTTTTGTATCTGCTACTTTTGTCTTTGTTTTTCAACCTGAAGCATTTAATATATGTAAAAATATATTGTTTTAAAAACGTTTTTTACTTCATGCAATTTTTTATTTCATGCAATGTTTTATTTTCTGTGCCGTCTTCAAGTATGCCCAGTACTTACGTTTGGAGAGAACATGAACTTCGGAAAATACCTTATCTAGCTTAAAACAGCCCATCTTCTCACCGACTAAACCCATTTCAATGAGTTGTTATAGCCTTCTTCGTTCGTCATGATGCGTCAATGTTCTCATAGTAAACCTTCATTTGGATTTGACTTCCGAGAAAAATTTGTTGTAGTTGTCAAGGACTGCCTTCGAACTGAGGATAGGACCAATGTTCGACAATAGGTTTTACTGTGGTTACTAAGCCACCTTGACCTTGAGTAAATTCGTATTTCAAAACAAAAGGGGAGAACCTTTCAACAAAGTTGTCGACCTTCTCATAGTGTTTACTCTTCATCGCTTGAGGTTTCTTAATGGAATATCCCCATGTCGAATTCATAAGCAATTTGAGTGTCATTGCAAGTTTGGGGTTTGAAGCTTTCCTAATATCATACAGTTGTTGTGTGACTTTTCCAACTGTATAGTTCCTTCCCGGGAACTCACCATCTTCGTTTGGAATTCCAGTCGGAATATATTGGACAAACCTCATGTATGCAGCGTTAAGGTCGACATAGTATATCTTTTCGTTTGAGTCGAACTTGTCACAACCAATTGGTCCAGTTTTGTGGAAATTCAAGTGAGTCTCTTATCTTCTGAGAAACTTCTCCTGTTATCTCATAAAACATCGTCGAAGCAACCTGTTTCATATAAAACCTTCTGACCTAACTCAGAAGCTCTCCAATACAATTTGACGTCATTGGATGTCTCAATGGAAGTTTTGTTTATAGCATCTTGAAGTTCTTGCAACCTCATTGGAAGTTCTTCTGGTTCAGGTTGGTATCCGAACAATCCAACTCCTTTTGGAATTGTGTACTTCTTTTGTACTAGAACTTTGTCTGGAACAACTTTTGGTCTTGCTAACAATGAAAAAGTTTGTTTTCGTCTTTTGGTACAAAAGTTTCTGTCAGCTTGTCATCTGGAATTGGTTCCAACAAACCTTTCTCGAAAAGAATGTTAACAGCTCTGACAATGTTGCACTTACTTTTACCAAAGAATGGGTTTGTAAGACTTTCGTTCAACATGAAGTGGTTGTGGACAATTACAATCTTCAACCATGGTAAGTCTTGTGTCAAAACATAGTCGTCATGTGAAGAACCTTTAGCTGTAGGTATGTTGACTCGGATATTGACATTTGCCAACGGTGCAATTTTTGCCAATTGACCTCTGAGAATGTACCTTGTCTTCACACATGACTAGATACTTCATCTTCTCTTCTGAAACAAGACCAGAGTTCCTGAGACATGTAAGAATGCAAGGTTCATTTGACAATTGTTTCAATTGAATTGTAAATTCCATACCTTGTCAAGTCAATGTCAGACTTATTTATGAAGGGGAAGTATCCAGCATGTTGTCTGACTGCTTGAGGGTTAGGTTGGTACCATTCGAACTTGACACTTGCAATTCCTTCAATTGCATTCAAAATGTCTGAGTCGGAGTCAACCATTTGTTCTCTCTTTGTAGTCTTGAAAGCGTCAAGAAGCATTGGCAGCTGTTGTGACATTTGCCATGTGCATAGTAAATATGACCATCTAAATCTGTTACTTAGTCTGAGATTGTATCCTTTCTTATTTCCATCTTGTATGGCAGCAAGTACACCCATGAAGCCTTCTTTGTGTCTTTTCCTTCTTCAAAATTTACTGTAAAGGTTGACCAGATGTAATTTTACTTCTAACCTCACGATACTTTTCATATGCATATCTTGTTCTTTCCATGGGAGCATGTGCGTCTTCACCTTTTCCTTTTTTCCTCTCAAAGGATGCAATTGTTCGTCATGTTTCCAGTAGAATCTGGCAAAGCCGTCGTGTCCTTCAACCTGTTGCGCTAACATCGAAAGGCATGTCCATAAGACGTTCTTCTTCTAACCTCTCTAACCTGTTTGGATAATTGCGCGTGCTGTTTCCAAGTCCATTTCATAGGTCAGACCAGCCAGTTTGTCATAGACTTTTATGGGTCTTCCCTTCCTATATTTAAACTTCTTTGAAACTTTCCAACCATATCTTTCTAACTCTGCTTTATTCTAGCAGACCTCTATCCATTCTATACGGGGGCATTTTTATAAAAAAAAAAAATGTTTTTTTTTTCTTTACTTTACATAACCGCCTGCTGCCATAAGTCTTTGACGCCAACCCATACCAGCTAATGAAGGTTGACTTGGTTTAGTTTGGAAACTAAACTTTGGTTTTGGTTTATCTTCAGTTTGGTTTTTCTTCTTCTATCGGTTTTTCGTCACTTTTCGGTTCCTCTGACTTTACCTCACTGCAGGAACAGTTGTGCGTCAACATCTTCATAAATATCATATGCCATCTGTTTTTGTTTTCCTTTCAACTTTTTGTGTTTGTTGTAAAGTTTAGAATATTTCGACTCTAAGTCAATGAGATGTTCTATAATGAACTGTTGGTCAGTGAAGTAAACTTTTCCATCTGTTGTCTCGAAAGCTCCTTCAGAACTTCAATATTTTATTTGTGAGAGTCTGTTTCTTTTTGAGATACTAGCGTTCCATTTCTATGAAAAGTGACTTTGTAGTTAGGGTTTGTATTTCAGAACCTGGCACTTTCTATTATTGAATTTTTCTCTTCATCTGTAAGTTCTTTGACGGGTTTTGACAATGGTTCTGAACTTTTTGTTTGTGGTGTCAAATCTACCGTTTCAACTTCTTCGGTCATTTCATCTCAGTAAAAATTTTAGTTTGTTTTGTTTTCAAACTGGTTGTTTAGGTTTTTTTAAGTCGGTCTAAACTTCCTGAGGTATAGGGAGACTTGACAAACACGTGGTTGTTGTAACTGCTGGAATCGACAAATCCATCTTGAACCCATTTGTCTCAATGCTGTATTGTTCATTTCATCTCAGTAAAAAATTTTACATTCCCCACGTTTGAGGCGGTTGAGGTTGGTTGTGTTTACCCACTGTTGTGCATGGTTATATCCTCTGTTAAAGAATCTTTCACCTTGGTCCATATAGTGTCCTGCTTGGTTATAGTAGTCATTTGCTTTGTTATAGTAGTTTCCTGCTTGTCTTCCTACATTGTCCATCCATCCTTGAACTTTTCCTCTTGTTTCAGGATTTGAAATAAGATTTGTTGCATCTCGTGCTACCCTCCCAACCTTTCTGTACAGTTTGTATAATAGGTTGTGCTTTCTCTTCAGTATACCTAATGTACTCAAAATCTTCCTTCCAATTCCAAATGCACCTCTGGCTATTGTTCCCACTGCGGCAAAAATCTGGATGCAACTCCTGCTATGCGCCCAAATAAACCCATTTCTTATAGGTAAAAAATGACGAATCCAAACAAGGACCCCTATGTTTCTAAAGCGACAAAGAAAGCACTCATGATAAAATCTTTAGTTCAACAACCAAATGCTTGGTTTATGGATATCTTGGAAAACATTCCGAGGTATAGAGAAGATGGACCACCATACTGGCTAATATTTGTCGGTCAAAACACAAGATACTGTGAAGCCATACCATTACAGTCCAAAAATATTTTAGATATCTTAGCAGCTTTGACAATATTTGTTGACAAATACCATCCAACAAAACTGACATCTGACTGTGAAAGTTCTTTCAAATCAGACGATGTAAAAAACTATCTGCGTTCAAAAAATGTAAACCAATATTTCATTGTCGACCAAAACCATTCTGCTCTTGGTGTCATTGACAGTTGTATAAAAATCTTAAGAGACTTAACCAACCACAAGGTGGTGAAGCAAATGAAATGTCATATGACGACAAGTATAGACACTTCTCCATGGCAAAGATGAGACAAGTTTTAAATATTTACAATAGCCGTAAACAAAAAGGTTTGGGAAACCACTCCCCGAAGAAATGAAAAACAACCCTGACTTAGAGAAAGACTATATATTTAATAGTTTAGTCAAAAGAGACAAACAAGAAAGAATGCCGGGCTTCAAACTTAAGAAAGGCGACAAAGTAAAAATAGAAATACCTAAACGCGACCCATATGAAAATACTATTGACTATGACAACAATGGGAACTCGACAGGTACTCACATTCGTGTTCGTAAAAATAGAAGAAAGTATACAAGAGAATATTATGAAGTTTTAGGCAAACATGGCAAAATGTACAGACTGCAAGCAGAAGATAAAACTACTATTGTCAGACCTCGTTTCAAACTTGTCAAAGTTCAAGGTGGTATACTTTCAAAAA